TTATTGTTTCCTTTGTTTTGGATTTCTCAAATTTTATTTTCATGTAAGCAAAACGTTTTGCCATATGTGCCAACCTAAAAAATTAGGCACTGAATACCAAAATGGAGCATGCTACGATATCATAACGCATGACGAATGTATAATGCAATGGTCCTGCTTTTACAAGGTTAGATCATTTAATAATGTTGAATTCCATACATCTCTCACTTTGTTTTTTGGCTGACTAAGACACATATCTCATACTTTTTCAAAGCAAAATGAAACACAACAAATCTCTACTTCTACTCCCACCAAACTCTATCTCTTACTTACGAGTTATATAACACAGACACTTCTAATATGTTTATCAGTGTCGGTGTCAGACACTTGCATTAATATATATGATTAGGTGTAATTTTTTTTTTTGTTTTTTTAAATTATTATTAATATTATCGTGTTAGTATCAGGATCGTAATCAGAGTTTTCACATTCAATTTTTGGTAGTTAGGGTAAATCCTAAAGCCAAAGCCAAAGCCAACAAGTATAAATGAATGGTAGTTTCAATTTCAAACATTAAAAAGTGTGTCAAAAGGTGAAGTAAATGGATGGATATTATAAGGGAGAATATAGGACCACATAAATGGTCTAGTGATGTCACCCACTTAGTCCTTTTGTATTGTATAATCATAATGAAAATTCATAAAGTGTGTCAAAAGCCTAACCCACCATTTCATCTTTTTGTTGCTCATTTCAGTTGGTCTATATTTAGAATTCAAGAATATTTTTATATGCATGAATTAAGAAAAGTGGGAAATGTACAAAGCTTTAAGTCATTTTCTCACTGTTTTTTTTTCTATATACAAGAGAGTGATAAGTTTTTTGTATGAATATTAATTATTTTTGAACTTTTTTAAGGAGATTCTACGTGTGGAGATTTGACTTATATAATAGGAACCTTAGTAGTTGTTTAAAGTAGTTATAAAATAAATGATAATGCAACTTTTTAATATTGAAATTGCATAACTTGTGTCTAAACAATAAATTAACTTGTGGAAAAGCTCTCAACCTACGTAAGCCTTCCATTTACAAACCTAACCACATGGAAGCAATTTGTTTTTCAGTGCTTTTTAACTTAGTGCAGCATAAAGAGTTTCCATTTTTTTAATTAATGTACCATACCGTGTTGATATTACATAGTCAAACTATGAACAGCAAACACATTTATGATGATGGTTGCTAATTTTGGCTCATCCAAAAGTATGGAGAGAAATAGATTATTATATAGGCTACACGGAACCTATAACATAATCTATTAAAATTTGACATGACTTATTCAATATATTTTCTATCTGTTTTAAAATGGTTATCGCTTAAGGTGGAGGAAAAGTAACGTTCTACGCAAAGGCCTAATGACCTATATCCAAAACAAATCATATGGGCTTGAAGTGGAGTTTTACCGAATTACTCATCAAGTAGGCCCACTTCAAGAGCCACATGTTGAAACAAGCATGCAGTAAAAAAAAAAGTTGATTTTCAACTAACCGTACCATAAAAATAAAAAATAATTAAAAAAAAAACTGCTAGCAAGAATAAGAAGGACCACAATAAATTATTTCGATAAATACTCTCGTACTCTCTGAGCTTTGTTTGGTTTGCATGAAAAACGTTATTATATACTGAAAACACCAACTTTTTATGATTAGAAGATTTTAGTTCCAGGCTCCAGCACCAGCTCAAAACATCTGGTACAATACAATTCAGATATATCAGTACAGTTCCATAAAGTGGGTAAATTGTCCAAAGCATCCATTTAAGCTTCTAGTCTCAACAAACAAACAAAAAAGAATAGCTACACAATGGAAGACAAAAATCGCTGCAAGTCACCCGGAACTTGGGTAGCTTCACAGCACAAACAACATTAAACAGCCCTAGTTGAGAAGAACATCATCATCATCATCATCCTTCTTACACAAACTCAAACCTCCTGCTGCACGGTCCAGAGTCATTAGTCCTATAAAAAAGCAGAAACATGAGAAAGTTGAACAATCTATTGCTCGATGAGTTGCATGGTGCATCATAGGTAGGAGAGTATGCTCATGCTCTCATGAAAAGTGTTAACTTTTGTTCATACAATCACAATATATTGGCAGAATTAGACATAACTGAAACAGTCTTGATCATACCATCATAATACAAATTTTCTCGTCAACAACTTAATCCCTACTAAGGACAAATATGATATCATATTATACCTTTAAGAAACTAATTTGCTGAAGAACTTCTAAAAGACTAATTTTGTAACCTTTTTCATTCATTCTTTGAAGTATTAAATTGATGAATGATGACCAAGTTTTTCGGATGATTAGTTTAAAGATGATTGTAACTTCAGGAGAATAACTTGAAGATTTACAACACTGCCAGCAACTAATTTTGAACCACTATGGTTCATTCTGCAAACTTTAAAATGAAATTGAAATTTGGGCAAAATTTCAAAGTCATGAGATAGGGTTGAAACTTTATTTTATTTCTGAAGTACTAACACTGAGGGTATTCAAAATTAAGTTGTCAATTAATCTCATATAGCCGCACAGAGCGCCCGTGCCAGATGCAAAAACTACTATAGAGAGATAGTCACAATTGGAGAAACAAAATAAATATAAAATCCAACAGGCACAGAGCGCCCGTGCCAGATGCAAAAACTACTATAGAGAGATAGTCACAATTGGAGAAACAAAATAAATATAAAATCCAACAGGATACGTAAATACTCAAAATAGCAAAATGCACAAAATCAAAAGTGTCATACTTAATAGTAATAATTATAAATAATTGTAGTTATTTGTCACAAAATATAAAAAATTAAAACCCAAAATAACTTAATTACTAATTAAAGTTCTAAAAGTAATCAATAGTTAGATGAGATCGGTGTTTCAGATGATGATGTCTGTTACAGCAGAGAACCCAAAGAACAGAGGAAAGAAACAAAAAGAACAGAGACGAACGAAAAACCTTCACAGAAGAGGGAAGGAGAAGCAAGAGAAAGAGAGGGCTCAACACAAAAGAAGACATAGAGAGATTCACACTCGCACAAAAGAAGAAATAGAGGGCTTCGCATGCAGAAACAGAGAAAACACAGCGAGAAAAAGAGTAAATGCAGGGTTTCATGAACACGAATGAAGAAGAAAATAACAGGTCTTTAAAAAATGGAAGATTAAAATAATAGGTCACTTAAAACACGTTGAATGCCCTTAGTAAATAAACATACAGTTAAAAACGAAGGGGCACTTGGAGAGTTCCCCTTAGAACATTAATTGCAGACAGGATAATAGGAATGGCCCGCAAATGAGACATGAATATGAAGTGATACACGGCCACAGCCACCACACCTGTTGAGCACAGCTTGCCAGCTGAATCAGTTGCAGCCGGCGTTGCCTTTGCACCGCGAATCCACTATTGCCTGCTATAGCGGTGCAATTGACAACATAGATTCAAAACTAGTAGTTGATGACTGGACCTGAATAACAGTTGCAAAGAGAAGCAGAATGCCAGAGGTCACTCATTGTAAATTCCCTTTTCTGTACCAATGATAGCAACTAGCGTGTCTAGCCAATGTAAATTCCCTTCCCATCCTAGAGTTAAACAATGTAAATTCTAACCAATGATAGCAACTAGCATGTCTAGCCCCTTTTCTGTACCCTCCACAAAAGGATGAATTTGACAGGAAACATAAATACTCAAATGTAATACAGATCACCTAAATATTCTGACAAAGTTACTTCAAATTTTACAGTTTCCTTACTTTGAAAAAAATAAACTTTTCAAAGAATATATTTCTTTTAAAAATTATGTGTTCCCATGTTTGCATTTCGGAGAGCGCGGCTTGTCACGAAAGCAAGGTTAATATACATTGTGACTCTGATGTTATTATTGGTTCTAGTGGAAAAAGCCTTTTAGCTTATGTGAGAAGGCTACAAACATCTAACATTTCATACACCCCACGATGATGGGGTTCATATGGAGTAGGCTCAATACTTCTTTTATCCAGCTTCTAATTTTACTTTCCAACAAGAGCAACACCAAGCCGTGTTTTTTTTTCCGGCATTTGTTGTCACTTTAAAGAAGTAACACGTTGGCTCCCTTAAGGGGAAAAAAGGTGTTTAATCCTTCAAACATCTGATCAATTGATACACAAGTTATATGAAATTTTGAGCTAATTTTTCTTCAATCGTATGAACAGAAGAATCACAACTGTTACACTAGCAAAAACCTCTTCTATCTTTTTTTAAGTGGGTACGATCCAATTCATGATTGCTTGCTTATTATGAAGTTAAAGCTCCTAATTGTGAATGCAGATTACCCAGCAGTCAAGTTTTCCAAGTATATAGTTTATTGAGCAATGTACTACAGCCTGGATCCCAAAAGAAGTAGACTCCACACACCCTGTAAAAAAGCAAACAGTGTAGATAGCAAGCCATCTTCATCTCATGTCTCAAGTAGGTTTTAAAAAAAACGTCCGTTACCCGCGAAAACGGCCACGACAAAACCGGAAGGTGCTGATACCGATACTGCTATTCACTAGTATTATGTTAGAATAACTTGTGAATAATTTACACGGCGACGACCGCAAACAGTGTCGCAACACCCGTACCAACCAAAATCACAAAAGCCTTTATGCGACCGTTATTTAAAATGGTCAACTATTCAATAATGTGGAGTTCTTATAGCTTATAAGCTATGCAATGTAATGAACATTCCAATTCCAATATACTCCACTATCCACCTAATCCCCTGAAAGTTCAACATAGAACCCGATGGCCAACATTTCCAATAATACATTATCACAGAATTTAGTTTTCAATAATCTCAAAACATGAATATCACTACAATCTCCCCAACCACAAAACAATATGCATCCAAACGACGAGAATAGTAAACAACAAAAAACCAACAACAGAACTAATCTAACAACACAATAACAATAGTTTATCTAAAACCTCACTAACCTCTGCAGAATGTAAGCATCATTGCCCCGCGCCTCCAGAAATGTTCACCCCAGAGTAAGCCGGTCGCCGGCGAGTCCTGGAGGGAAGAATGTTATCCAAATCCACCTCCGCCAGTGGATCATCTGAAAAATCACTGTCACTACCGGACACATTGCCGTCGGAATCATCATCACTGTCATCACTATCATCACTGTCATCATCTTCGTCGTCGTCATCATCTTCCTCAATCAATTTCCCTTTTCCCTTGTCGTCACGCAAAATCCCTTTTCCCTTCCGGTCCACCACACGCTCACCTTCTGAATTATCCTCCTCGTCGTCTTCATCGTCATCATCGTCGTCAGTGTCGTTTTCGGGCTCATTGTCGTCTTCTTCAGCGTCTCCGCCGAATTCTTTGACGGGAACGTCGTCGGAAGAAGAATTGGTTGTGGTGAGAACCTCGGATTCCTGAGAATTGTTGTCGTTTAAGGTAGTTGTTATCTTGGGGTTTTTGTTGGGAAAGTCGTGGGTGTCTTTTTGATCGGGCTTGCGCTTTGAGGGGAATGTCGGTTCTTCATGGTTGTCGGTTTCAGGATCAGCCATGAGTGAGGGTTTAGGAGGTTTGTCTCTTTCTGGTGTTAGGGTTTTGTGGGGAGAAGTAGTTGGGAGAATCTGAATAGTCAAGAAAATGATCGTGGTTCTTTTTTTTTTTACTATTTTATTTATATGAAATAAATTTAACAATATTAATTCAATTCTCTTCATTAAAAACCCCAAGATAACAACTACCTTAAACGACAACAAGGTATAAATACCTTCGTAAAGGGTTTCAAGATACACAATCTCTAATCTCCACTTTCACTTCCATTATCTTGAATCCTAAATTGACTTGGGCGTTGGAGTGTTAACCATGCAAGTTGTAACACCCTTTTCTGCCCCACAAATATAATGGCAAATCAATCATGATTATCAAAGTAAAATATTGAAAGCAATATAATCATCTCAAAAGGACGCATATTTCTCAATAATTCAAATATAGTCAATGCTCCGTAAACAACGGGTTTTCCCAAAATTACTCAAAATATTACTCAAAAGGCAGCGGAACTCAAAAAGGTAATAATCCAAATTTTTCCTTGCGCCGCAAGGCAATCAACATAACAAAACTCAATAAAATATAGTTTGACTCAAAGACCCTAACTCGATGTTACACTATCAAAGCAAGAGCCTCTAGGTCAACCACAATGGCCAACGACCCAAAAACTTCAAAAAGTCCTCGACGACATCCACGACTAAACCTGGTCATCTGCACGTTACCCACGTGGAGGCAACATTCAAACGAGCAGGGTGAGTAAAAAGATTCATAATAATCAATATAGGAATCAATATAAAATGTCGCCATTTTCATATCCAACATCATCAGAATCATCAAGGAACATCAAAATGTCACATAAATGCAAATGCAACAAGACTCATGCATGTGGTACCAATCAACAAAATTCGATGGACACTGGGTCATCAACTCTCCAAAGATCCACAACAGTGGGATCGATTCTACATGAGAACCGGAGCACAACAAAATAACTCACATCCACACAATGGGACTGAAGCCACAAAAATCAAGGTCCTGAACCGAAGTCCAGATGCATATGAATTCATGATGGACACGTCAATATCATCCTCCTAATAAACTCATTAGGTGCATCATCATTCATCAAAATCATCATAATACTCATGTCATCATATAATCATCAAAACTCATGGAATCAACATCATAACTCATCATCATTACTCATAGGAATGATCATAATAATCATGTAATAATCACATAGGAATCATAGTCATACTCATGGTAATTCATCAAAGAAATCACAACATCAAAATATTAAGACATCACTGAACCAGAACGTAATTCGCAAAACTCTGCTACATTCGCTAGCAAGTTCGCAGTACGAGTCTGGGACGAGTGTTCGTCGTGCTAAGCTTTCTTCGTTGTACGAACTTGAGATTATAGCAAATTGTTGTTACGCACCAGCACCAAAACCAATCCAAAAACCTATATGATTTCCTTCCCCAATGCCCCAAAAACATCCCTAAATCATTTCTAAGGTATTACGCCTTTAAAGAAACAAAATCTACGACTTATTAGGCCTTTACGCCTCCAATTCCAATAATTTCTTACAACTACACCACAGTCATTAAAGTTCTCACAATCAATTACCCTATACGGTTAAAACCTCATCAATAGATTTTGGCCACAAAGGCCTAATTTTCCTTACTCTTAAATCAACCTCAAACCTATTAGACCATAAGTTCAAATCCCTCAAACTCATCGAACACATCACCAGAAAGGCAACAACAATCCAATACTCAAAAAATCCCTAAACCCTTAAATCAGCTTAAAATACATTGAATCACATATTGTAAACAATGAAGGCAATACTCCACATACCTTAATTGTCGACTCTAAGTCTTTCTCTTTGATTCTTGGAAACCTTGCGAAGCTTTTGCCTCAATCCTCTTCCTCAGAACTCTGGCATTTATTTCTTCTCTTTTCACGGTCTAACAAGAATGAATTCTAATCCCATCAAAATTCCTTTTTGTTAAACCTAACTTTGCGCCTTAAAATTGGGCTTTCCAACTTCACCCTCACTAACTCCTCCTCAAATGTCCACTTTGCCCTTAATTCACTTATATTTTTTTAAATTAATAATAATACCAATATATTTATATTATATACTATTATTTAAACAAATAACTCAAAATCCATAATTCTCAATATTCACACCAACCACCGAAAATCACAAAAAATGTGAATATTCATATTTAAATAAATATTCCAAGAATTTGGGGTGTTACAACTCTCCCCCATTTTAAAAAAAATTCGCCCTTGAAAATTACCTCAAGGAAACAGAGTCGAATACAACTCCCTCATCTGATCCTCGCGCTCCTAAGTCATACTTCCTCCAGCTGGTCCTCTCCAAACTACCTTTACCAAGGAAATCTCTTTACCTCGCAGTTGCTTCACTTCTCGTTCCTCAATCTGAATTGGCAATGTCTCAACAGTCAAATTCTCTCTCACTTGTACATCATCCATCTGAATCACGTGTGACGGGTCTGAAATGTACTTCCTCAACTGAGACACATGAAATACATCATGCAAATTTGCAAGTGACGATGGTGAAGCAATCTGATATGCTACTTCTCTCGTCCTCTACGAAATCTAATAAGGACCAATAAAACGCGGTGTGAGATTTCTAGACTTCAAAGCTCGATCAACACCAGTTATCGGCATAACTCTCAAAAACATGTGATCTCCTTCATGGAACTCAAGTGTTTTCCTTCTCTTATCATGGTAACTATTCTGACGACTCTGCGGCGCTTTCATCTTTTTTTGGATCATCTTGATCTTTTCAGTCGTCTCTTGCACAATCTCAGGTCCGAGTACAACATTCTCACCTGATTCATACCAACACAAAGGAGTCCTACATCTTCTATCATACAATGCCTCATATGATGTCATTCTGATACTAGAACGGTAACTATTGTTATAGGTAAACTCAATCAACGACAAATGACTATCCCATGATCCACCTTGATCTAACACATAAGCTCTCAGAAAATCCTCTAAAGACTGGATAGTCCTCTCTGCCTGTCCATCCGTCTACGGATGATAAGCAGAACTCAACCTCAACTTAGTACCCAAAGTTGTCTGCAAGCTCTCCCAGAACCTCGATGTGAATCTCGAATCTCTATCAGACATAATAGTTGAAGGAATACCATGCAGTTTCACAATCTCATCAATATACAATTCGGCCAGCTTCTGTAACAAATAATTGACCCTCATCAGTATAAAATGAGCCAATTTGGTCAATCTATCGACAATCACCCAAATTGAATCATATCCCTTCAAAGTCTTCGGTAGATCTGTTACAAAATCCATAGAAATGCTATCCCATTCCCACTCTGGAATATTAAACGGTTGCATCAGACCCAACGGTCTTTGATGTTCAATCTTCGACTTCTGACAGGTGAAACAAGCATACACAAACTCTGCAACTTCCTTCTTCATCCCTGGCCACCAAAACAATTTCTTCAAGTCTTGATACATCTTTGTGGCACTCGGATGAATACTTAACCCACTTATGTGACCTTTCTCAAGAATACTCTTCTTAATTTCAGGCATATCTGGAACACACACTCTATCTATGAACCTCATCACACCATTCTCATCGACCCGAAAATCACCCCCGTTACCTTGGTTGATTAACGTGAGACGATCCACTAAACTCAAATCAGATTTTTGACCTTCTCTGATTTCTTAGAGAATACCACTAGTCAACTTTAGCATACTCAACTTCACACTGCTAGGAGTCTCTTCACACCCTAGACTCACATCTCTGAATTGTTCAATCAGTCCTAACTCTTGAACCATAAGCATCGACATATGCAAGGACTTCCTACTTAATGCATCAGCTACAACATTAGCCTTACTATGGTGGTAATTCAATTCAAAATTATAATCCTTCAGAAGTTCAAGCCATCTCCTCTACCTCATATTCAACTCTTTTTGATCAAACAAATACTTCAGGCTCTTGTGATCACTGAACACTTCGAACATGGACCCAAAAAGATAATCTCTTCAAACTTTCAACACAAACACCACTGCTGCCAACTCTAAGTCATGCGTAGGATGATTCCTTTCATGAAACTTCAATTTTCTAGAAGAATAAGCAACAACTTGACCATTCTGCATCAGTATGCCACCAAGACCCATCTTCAATGCATAACAATACACTACAAAAGACTCACTCGGATTTGGAAATATCAGCACTGGAGTACTTGTCAACTTTTTCTTGAGTTCTACAAAACTCTTCTCACATGCAACATCCCACATATAAGTTTGACCCTTCTGAGTCAACTGATTCAATGGCAGTGCCAACTTTGAAAAGCCTTCTATAAACCTATGATAATAACTGTAATACCCCAAATTTTACCCTTATATTTAGTCAGTCATTTCGCATATCATCTCATCTGTGCATTTGCTAACCACTAACAAGTTATGGAGGTGTTTGTTTTGCAGATTTGGTTCCAGGGGTATTTTGGTCATTTTACGCGAATTCTGCTAATTCCTTGAAGACAGGCTGTTATTAAGTTCTGAGGCATTTGATACACTATTTCTGAGGAATTTATTTATCACCGGGTTTGATTATATCAAGGCGCCAATTCGATGTGGCCGGTATTGAAATTTGACGAGCACAACTGGATTTAAGACCTATTTTATCGCTCTTGGCTTATATCCGGCACACTTCCGTTTCTGTTAATAAGGCACAGTTTAACTGGGTATTATTGGATTGTTTGTTCTTAGCATTGGATCAGTGGAATGAAATTACGGGCCATGTTATTGTTGATACCGAATCTGTTGTGATTACGGCGCACATCCGTGTTTGGTTATAAAATTGTTGGTTAGCACTTAAATTGGAATGCAAGTAAATTTAATCAGGTAATGAGACGAGTGCACGAACAAAAATGTCATTCGGGAATGCTTATAGTTTATGACTATGTTAATGATTTTAAATATTTGTGGATTTATTCACAAACGTTTA